CCTTGACTGTGATTCACTGTTTCTAACCTTCATCCATAAAATGGGATTCTTCCAAGGCACAAGCAAATGAAATCATTTGTAGGCACAGGCTTTGTAAACTGTTGTGTTAAAGAGATATAAGATATTGTTTGGTAATTAATATAACTTGGGAGATAATTTTATATTTAATGCATGCTAATCTCAACTTAGATGACTCAGAACATCTGATGTTATATCCAATGGAGCTAAAGTCCTATAATAAATTATGTTACAACATTATATTTGGAATCCTAGAAACAAAATAAAATTACATTTAGTTGGATCACCAAAACTTGAAATAAAGGGAAAAAATATAGTTCAAAAACATCAGCTCTTAAAGAGAAAAATGTTCCCTGTCAATCTTTAATAGCTAGTGGGTTTTAAAACCAGTCAAATTTAGCATAATAATAAAACGTCAAATCTATGTTCAAATCATGCTGATATTATATGCAAATGTACAACCTAGTATGAAAATGATGGTAATACTCATAGTGAGATGACTAAGAACTAAACTAACTATTATTTCATTTTTTTCACATCTCTTCATTGTAAGATTTTTGGTCTTGAAATAATACACATAACTATCAAATTAAACATTATTTTATTATAATAGGTCTGTATGATACTGATATTTATTTGTATTTTTACTGATATGTATATGTTAAATTATAGTAGAATGAAGAAAATAATAGAATTAATTGGGCCCATTGATTTATATAATTATTAAAAAAACTATTATCATCTATTAAAAGTAATATTAATTTGTGAACACTATTTCTGAAGGTTAATTCTTCTTTAACAATGTGAATTTTAATGAAACGTGGAATAGTTAGAAAATGAAATCCAATCCCACATATATATGTTACTCTTTGTCAAACCAGAAGTCTCAAGTATACATAATGTTGTATAATGTGTTACTGTGTTGCTGTTATAAATATGTGTGCTCTCTGCCTACTACATATTTCATATGACTCTTGCCAGCTTAAATGAGGGATTTCACTTTGTAACAGCTCTGTCAAATCAATTCTGCTTTCTGGTTCTGTGCAGTGTAACAGTATGACATCCAGATGAGCAGAGAGCAAAAGAATTTCCTTCTGCTCCTTAATTAAAGAGGAGAGAAATCCATAAGCATTTTAACCCATAAGCACTCAGAGAGCATCAAGCCCCTCAAAGGCAGTATAATGTCAGTACCTTGAGTTCCTAAGGGTGCAGAATCCAGGGCAAATCATACAGGTTCCTTCTCAGATTTGCATAGAGGTCAAATCAGGTTCAAAGGAATAGCACCCCCACCCCAGCCACCAGAGGTTGGGAAGCCCCTAAATATCCAAAAGTACAAACTGCAAAAGAAGCCTGCAGTCTTTGGACTTGCCTTGGTGACTGGGGTGAGGGTGTTTTTGGTTCATTTTATGCCAAATCTACTTCCTTTCCCCTGAGCCTCTTCTCAGTGTCTTTCCTGCCTGTGAGATTTAGGACAGAAAATCACAAAGAAATCGCCCCAATTCCTTCAAGTCGTAGGGACAATGCTTGGCCAAGGCTGGCTTCCTGGGAACCTGACTTGTGTAGTCACAAAGGGCCCCAGGCTCACAAGAGCCTGGAACTTTATATAATGCTCTACTGTCTTGGTCTGCATATTCTCAATTCTCATTTACTTATGATTTGGTATACAAAATCATAAAACATTTTTAACACAGGAAAGCAATCATCTTTGATAAAAGAGAACTGAAGGGATTTAGGGCTGGAAACAATTAAGCTGAGCCCAATTTTTTAAAAGGAAATTCAATTTTAAGTGCACCATGATGTTGTACATTAGAGGTACTTTCCCAGGATATCAGTGGTTTCTTTTCTTCTGCATTGATTAGAGTATTTTGAGATTATAAAGTGTGGCTTGCTAGATATTGCATACCAAACAGAGTAGCTACATAGAGGTCACTATTGGGGTTTTAATTTTTTGTTTTTAAAGATAAAACCTGAGTGCAAACGAAGGTACTGGAGAATGCTATCCCTCTTAATACCAAGGGAACTTGCCAGTCCTCCATGAAAATGTGGAGATGGTGAGGTTTCAGCTTTCACAGCATCTCTTTACCCTTCTTTCAGCATCCCTTTACCTTGTTAGCTTTGTACCCTTCCCTTCTCACTCTAAAAGTGGTTGGGTTTCTGGAAAACTTACATATAAATGCTCCCTCTGCCACATCATATGAGCAAAAAGATCTACATCCTTTATTTGTGACTTTGTTCTCAGTTGACTTTTATGGTTAGACAGCTATCTGATAACTAACCCCTGTTAAAGTATTAGCTGGTACTAATTGAAAGTCTGATTTCTATCTGGGATACCCTGCATTTTAGTATTTAATGTCACAAAATCTCAAAGACTCAAAGGATTTCTCCCATTGTGAAGCCCCCTAGTCAGCCAGTGGGTGCTTTCTATAGGCCTTCAGTTGTACCAGGCAGAGAGCTGCTACTGCATCTGTTCATGACAACCATGCATGAGACAGAAGAAACCCACTCTATTTCTTTGCTTCATGCCAAACTTGAATAGCTCAGTAGCTCATCCAGACTAATGATTCAGACCTTGTCACACTGTCCCACATCCAGCAGATGCTAACATACAAAAAAAGTAATGTACTTTACATAACTCCACTACTTCTTCCCCCATCCTCCTTGCTTTCTTTCCTAGGTCATTGAGAAAATAGAAGCAATCATGAGAAAACTTTCTCAAGCTCCCATCGTATCTCTCACTTGCCAGAAAGTGCACATTATGTATTCTGCTTTCTCTTCTTATAATTAATTGTCCCTGTTCCTGCTTTAGTTCACTGGATCCATCGTCACTCACTTACTCAAGATTATCACTCCAGCAATTCAGTTTCTCTTCTGGATCGTTCCCATCACCATGAAATATGCTATTATTTCCCTTGTCTTAAAAAAAAAACATTCTTTCTCTTGACACCACCTTTATTTATTTCCCTTTATTTAAAAAATCCTTGAAAACTTATACATGTCTTTCCAAATTCTTGCCTCTCATTTCACTTCAGCCGACTAGTTGTTTTAATTCCTGGTTACTCCATAAAAACTACTTCTGTCAAGTTCATCAATGACCTCTGTCCTGGTCAAGCTCTGAGCTCCTATGACCTGACCTGCAGACTTACTTGGGACTGTTCACTGCGCCCTTCTCCTTAGAGCACTTTCTTGACTTGGCCTCTAGGACCCCACACTTCTGATTTTCTTCCTACTTCACTTTCTACCTTCTTGGGTCCTTTAGAAATTCTTTCCCATCTCCTATCCTCTTAACAGTGGAGTGGTCTTGAACCATTCTTCTTCTGAATCCATACTCCTTCCATTGGCCTTCTCATTTGGCCTCATGGCTTTAAATATCATCTATGCAAAATACTCCCAAATCTCCATCTCCAACCCAGACCTTTCTTTCTCTTGAACTCTAGACTCATCCAACTATCTACTCTACCTCAATGTCTAGTAGGCATCTCACACTTAACACAGATCTTTCCAAGTCCACATGTGTGCCCCCAGGCCCCCAATCTAGTCTCAGCAGGCTAGCCAAAGTGATCCTATTAAAATTAGGGCAAAATGTAGTGCTTATTCTGCTCTAGCCTGGCTGGCCATCTAGCTCCTCCAGGGACAGGCAACCTTGCTTCTGCCTAAAAGCCTCCTCCTCATTTGGTTCTTTCCTCTGCTGAACTTGCTCCTCCTCTAGATATCTGTGTGATTGTCAGATCTTTGTTGAAACATAGCCTTCTTACTCAGGCCTTCCTTGACCACCCTATTAAAAATTTCAGTGTCCTTCTCTTTCCACCCTCCCTGATTTATCTTTTTCCTGGCACTATCTTTTTCTAATTCTAGGTTTTTATGACTTATCACCTGTTTCCCTTCTTTTTTTAAAATTTATTTATTTATTTATACAAGCACTGGGTACAGTCAGAAGCGCGGGAGGGTGAGAGAATTCACCAGAGCCAGAGCGGGGAGCAAAGCAGGCAGAAGGACCAAAGTACACTGCTGAGGGGAGCAGCAGGCGGCAGGAGAGGTCTGCGCGCCATGTGGGAACCTCCTCCGGTGGCCGGGGAGCAGCCGGGGATCAAACCGGCGCTGCAGAGGCTGCGGGCAGCTTCACAACCCAGTGCTCAACCGCTGTGCCACAGGGGAGACCCTCACCTGTTTCCCTTCTTACCAGAATGTAAGCTCTATGAGGAAAGGGATTTCTGTTTCCTCAGTGCCATACACCTTCGTTACAGGTGTGATTTATTTTCCTACCAAAGAACATGGCCTGCACCGGATCTTCATAAAACCCATCTCCCTAAGATAGGTATCAGATCAGTGACTGGGCCTCCATCTCTAAGCTTTTCTTTACAAAGCTGAAAGAAAAATGGCTATAAGGCCGGATCAGGTGTTTGTGTCAAGGGCGGATCTTTCACTGAGTCCAATACAGTCAAACCCCTCCCTATTGCCCTTCAGCTGAACATGTGAAATTGAAATGCTGTGCAATATGTTTAGTGTTTGCTCACAGGTATTATTTTTACTAGGTAATTGCTATGCAGCTTTGTTTTCCGCTAATTGCCTCTTTTTAAATATTATTGTATAATTAAACTGATGAATTACTTGTAGTAATAGAATAGTCTTCAAGATTGGCACATTATCATCTCTTACATTTATTCTGCTTTCTAGTCATGTTAAATAGTTTTACATTTAAAATAGATATTTCCTGCCCATCAAAATAGTACATCTTGCTTTCATCAGAGGTTATAGCAAAAAGTGAATTCTGGAAGTGCTGATGTGGACAATCGCCAACCCATTCTTATACCGAAAGTATCTGTGGGCTGCTTCTTAAGATGCGATGCTCAGCTCAGAAGGGTAAGGAAACAGGTTTGAATAAAACTGAGAAAATAGTTACGAATGCAAAATTTCATTCTCCCAGTTCTGATGCAGGAAAGGGCAAACTGGTCTTAGTTATTCATCCCCATTATTCCAATAAGAAATACATGAAAAAATTGTAAAATTTATTTACAATGCAGAAGTTGAGATGAATAAAACAGCTGGCAATGGCACCTTGCTGATGAGTTTGCTTTATAAAAATATTAGTGAGCTCAATTTTCTATATTTTGCTTTCATTTGGGGAATGATGAAGAATGTCTTTTTGTAATTATAAAACTTCTGACATCAATATCATTGATCACAATGCCGCCGGGAATTCCGAAAATGTTCAGTGAGGGGTGATTTGGGCATTTTTGGACTTGACATTTGATAAAAGTTGGGTAACCGAATATCATAGTGGTATCTTTTTCCTACGTATACCCTGTCATTCAAGGCGTAGAGTTTATCTGCAATGTCACTGCCAATTAGAACTGAAAACAGGCGGGAGATGTAGCGATGCTGAGCAAAGAGTAAATATAATTTCTTTCTCCTCCAAGACACGTATCGACAGTCAGTTTCTGCTGTGAGGGTTACCTGAAAAAACAAAAACAAAAATAAAACCCTAAGACCACATATAAACAAAAATTGGGAAGCAAGGAAAATCCTGTCACTTTTTCTTGCTCCCAATTTTAAGTGACTTTCATTTGCTGCTTTTTTTAGATGAAAAAAGTCTGCTGACCTACAATATACAAAATGTATTATTACATGTAATTTTAGAACATGAGTAATCAGAATGTTGTGCCAGTCTCCACTTCATCTGCTTTCTAAGTTCAGGGATCTATATTTTACATTCTTCTGAAATGAGAGCAGTGTGATATTAAAAAATAGTGAAGTTAGCTAATGTGGAGAAGTATTTCTAAGTCAATTCTGAAGACTATGGTCCTTTAACCTTAACTCAATTTTTGTAGTACAAATAGAATTTATTAAATTTATTATATATTATTTATTAAATTTATTAATAGAAAATATTTATTTTCCATAGGTATATGAATTTTAACATACCCCTATATTACATGTACTAACTTACAGGAAAAGTAATTCACAAGAAAACCACTGCAATGATCATATTTCAAAACAGATGTAGCAGCAGATTAGCAAACTCAACATTATATTTGCTAGAAAACAACTCCATCAACATTTAAAATTTTTTAATCACTTATTTTGTCTAAGAGCAGATTTTTCCTATTGGTGTTTTTCTAAATGTTATACTGGCAGTTTTTAGCTGGCAGTCAAACCTCAATGAACTATGTTTTAATTCCCATATCTATGCAGTTAAAAAAAGGGGAATTTAAGAATATTTATCATAGACTCCTTTCTGTCATATATATTGCCCATTCTTCTTGTTGCTGGACCTATAAAGTTAAATGAATCAGTAAGAGTCAAATGGAATTTGGAAGTCATACATGCTGCAAAGCATACTCTAGAGTTAAAAATAAACTATTCCTGCAACATGTGCTAGTTTGCTTGCCTATTTGTTTGTTTTTAAACAAGCATTGTTTATCTCTTTGGAAGAGGCAGTATTCACTGTATGGTCTGGTTATCCCTTACCTGAAAAATGCCTTCCTCTGTGGGTCTCAGTGAATCCCATTCAGGAGAATCCAGGAACTGGAAGGGGAAAATGTAATGCAGAAATTCTCCATCTACTGTCACTCGCATCCTACCCAAACACAAGGAACATCATTTATGAGGGAAGGAGAAAGCAAACATAATTGTGGGCAATGGGAGGGGGCAATATTTCAGATTTCTGATGACCTTTTTGGCTCTTAAAATTTTGAAGGGTAAAAAATTAAATTCATACATTACAATAAGTGACAAAATCTCCTCTAAGATTCATGCACTGATGTTCTTCACAGTTAGGATTCTGAAATATTAGGTGAAATTCATCAGAAAATTCATCAAGCTATACATTTATGTGTCTATATTTCAACAAAAGTTTTATTGCACTTAATCAGAATTTAAATTAGGCAGAGCACTGAAGAACATAAAGTAGTACCCTTATAATTATATAAATATCTCTATAATAAACTGTAACCTTTTAGAAAATATGGGTAATTATATTATTGTTTCTTTCTCCCCCCAAACTTTTTGTTTTCAAAATTTAGATTCTTTCTCTCATATTATACACATATATCAATATATGTGTGTTGTATATATATATATATATATGTGTATATCTATCTATCTATCTATCTATAAATAAGTGAAGTGTGCCTTCCCTCCCCTTAGCATGTGGGCTAGAATTTATTGAAAAAAACTGATCATGAAATTTAAATCTTCTCTATTATTTAAAAGAATGCCCTATCATTGTTTAGATTTTACATGTACTACTTTGTATTCCATTAATTCTATTAATTTTATTAATTCAAGCTGGCATCATCCTCTTCTTGACTTTCAGTGATCAGCTTGAAAACAAATAGCATGTCCACATCAATCAATTCATACATTTGATTTCTAAGACTATCAAGGCTCTGGACTATTTCCTGCTTAAAGGAAATAATACCATGTATTCTAAATGCTTATATTCATGACTCATGTCAAAGACTCTCTTGAGCCTCGGAGCACTAACTCTACACAGTACTATGCTATACTGAGATAGAAAAATGTAGCCAAAAGAAACACAAACTAATAACTAATATGAAAGGAAGACATGCAAGAACCAAGACTACAAACCTTCCTGAAACAAGCAGTGAGAGTTTATCAATGGAGGTCTTCCCTTGCATGGCATAACAGTGCTCCTTTTCCAAAGTAACCACTTCAGAGCTCAAAGCAATGGTTCTGAAGACAGGCATAGAGGTCCCCAGAGGCTGGAAAATGGAGCTGTACAACAGCTGGAATTCTCGGGCAAAGGTTATGCTGTGAACTTGATAGGCAATATGAACAAACTGCATGAAGCAGATGACAAACAGTATAAAATTCCAGGAAAATATGTCAGCTGCACAGACATCTACCCAAGCCCAGACAGCAGAGCAGAGAAAACCCAAGCCCAGTAAACTGAAGACATAGAGGAGCCCAAAGAATCCACTGCCACCCATGAAACCTACTACAAATAAAATACTGGCAAGGTGATAAATGGCTCCTTCAGCCTCTTGCTTCCACGTGGTACAGACTGGGTGTTCATCTATTAGGTTCTTCCATAAACTTGAATTTCTTTCCATGGTTGTTTTATCATTTGATTCACTTTTCAGTTGAAATTAGATGATACTAAAGCCAGTCATTAGGTCCTTTGCTTTTCCATCATCAGCTTTGTTCAGTCTTCACAAAATCAGAGAAAGTCCGAACACCTGTGATTAAGGGTTTGGCATATAGGGATCTTGAAAAGCTAAGACTCCCATGCTATTTTTTTAAGTTCATCTGAACTCCTGATTTAGATCTTGTCCACAAATATTTTGCAGTTTCCTGTGGGGGAAATAAGGGATCTAATTAAACAAGAGGAATTGAGGTCTATTTGATGAATTGATGGTATTACTTATGCCAAGTTGACATTTTTTCTATGAGTTAGAATATTTAAGTATAAATGCTGTCAAAATGGTAAATTTCCAGAATATAAAAAGTATATTTAGTTATATTTATTAATAATAAATTATTTACAGAAATTTTAGTATTTGTTAGGATTAGCTAATGGCATATTTTTCAAGGAAGCTAAGTGCTATTATCAATCTCTTGGGATCTGTGACTAGCAGATTCATAGGCTGTTTCCAAAGATACTGAGGCAGAATCTTTGAGGACGGGTCCTGTGAGCTGCTATGTTGAACAAGCTCCTCACATGGCTTTGATGCATCAGCCCATGGCCCTCCATCCTTTAAGAGATACTGTTTGACAATATAATTCAGTCTTCACAGATGAAAAATGTGAGGCTCAGAGAGGCCAATTAACTTCTCCCAGGCCACACAGTAGTTGGTGACAGAGTAGAACTTCAGCTCTGGAGCCTGAATGTTGGCTCCATTATGTGGCCACCCATGGAAGATATCAACTTAGGCACTTTGAGGAGCCCAAATAAATCAATAAACATAAGAAAATATAATTATAGGGTCTGATTTTTAAGGGTGCTGTGAAAATGTTTAGTAAATTAGATTGAAATTGAGAAATAGAATTTCAGTTCTAATTTAGAGGCTATTTCAGGTTAAAGGTTGCATCTATATAACTAAATAAACAATATTAAAATTCCTGCTACTTGCACATTAATTTACCAGATGGTTAAAAATGTTACCGACTTGTTCCTCTGCACATATATGCTCTACCCTTTCAGACATATGGTAAAAATGCTAATATGTTATCTGAGTCAGGAGAGAATTAACCATGACGACAGAGCTGTAGGATATGTATCATTTACCATCAGGTTTCCTAACCAATAAATGGTTTCAGTGTGAGACATTCATTAGATTGATTTGTGTGTGTGTGTGTGTGTGTAACCATGTACTTATTTTTTATATCATAGCTGATTTTTGTACAATATTTGATTTCTCCTCTCAGGTCCCCATAATTCTACCACCAGTATAACAACATTCAAAAGACTTGATCTTGTGTGCTATATTTAGTGTTTTTATTTTTGAGATATATTATTTCTAGAACACCTGTTAATATCAGATATCACCGATCTTGTCCATAGGAAAAAAAAAATACACACATGGGGTGAAAATGACTAAGGTCAAGTGAGAAAAGGAACAGTGCAATTATCAACAGACTAGAGATGGAAATAAAGGAATGGCTGTTATGGAAGTTCCTGGTTTTTCATTTTAATAAATTCTTTTCTCAGCAAGTAATGATTTTAAGAGTACCACCACGTGAATCATTTCAAAAAAAAGAGAAAAAAATAACAGAGACCCATAAGTTAGTCATATCATTCTTTTCACTTAACTTGCTTTCAAATACATTTTAAACATTTTGCATATTCCTAGTCACCACCCCTGCCACCACTCTGTGAAATGATGAGCTTGGAGGCAGTCCCATCCCGTGAGCATGTTCAATTTCTCTTCTTTAAACAAAACACAAAATTATATACTACTGGATATTCATAACAAAAAAAAATTGTAAAAATACACTAAGTAGTGTGAACTGAGAAATAGCAGACTGCAAATGTCAGTGTCCCTGCTGTTTCACTTTTAGAACTGGGATATTTTAAATTAATCAATTCCTGAGGATACCAGGCATAGCCACTGAAGCCAATATTAAAAAGCACTGCCAGGAGAGCACTGAACTTTGGTGTGAACTTCCTTAAAAATTTATAATCCTCCACAAAATGTTAAAATGATGCTAATAGAAAAAGGTCATGTAAATGTTTGTGGTGATTCAGAAAGGAAAGCATGGAATCTTATCCTTTTAAAATCTTGGGGGTTTTTTTGGAGGGGGGGAGCCCTACATTCCAGGACCATGGCTCACAGTGATAATTGGAGGAATTGTGCGTCCAGTGGTTTCCGGTCAACTTCTATTTCAATAAGCTGCTACCAAACCATCTTCCTACCCTTGATATTGTATCTCTCAGTGTGCTGACGTGCCCTGCTTAAATTACTCCACACCCAGCCTTCTCCACGTGGTGTGTTTTTATTCAGTCACCAAAACAGATGTACTTTATTAGAAGAGGAAGAACTGACAGGGGCAGGTGATGAGCATATTCCTCTGATGTGTGCCACCAGCAGTACTATATGAATGTTGAACATGATTCATCTACCAGCTGTCTGCCTTACAGAGCTGTAGACCTTAAGTCATATTTTTGGTAAATAAATGCTGAAATGTCAAAGTGGCACAATTAATTTCTTAAGCAACAATGTCCATTTTCCCTGAAAAAAAAAAAAAGTTAGCACAGGGAGACAAAATTAACTACAAATAAACATAATCACTCCAAGCTCCCCCTTTTTTCCTTAAAGATTTATTTATTTATTTATATAAGCACTGGGTACAGTCAGAAGTGCGGGAGGGTGAGAGAATTCACCAGAGCCAGAGCGGGGAGCAGAGCAGGCAGAAGGACTGAAGTACACTGCTGAGGGGAGCAGCGGGCGGCAGGAGAGGTCTGCGTGCCATGTGGGACCCTCCTCCGGTGGCCGGGGAGCAGCCGGGGATCAAACCGGCGCTGCAGAGGCTGCGAGCAGCTTCACAAGGCAGCGCTCAACCACTACGCCACCGGGGAGGCCCCTTTTTTCCTCCTTAAAAGAAGTAAGAAAATGTAAAGAAAAGTATGCTAATAAAGAAGTAAGAAAATGTAAAGAAAAGCGCAGGGATTTTCGGTGAAATATGATATAAACTTAGTGGCAAACTGATAACCCATCCAAAGATTGCATTTATCAGTTCAGAACTTTTACATTTATTATCTTGTATCACACAGATCGCCATGAGGAAGGCAGAGGGTAAATCATCGCGCCCAGCTTACAAATGAGAAAAGGGAGGCAGACTGGGAAGTCACTTGTTTCAGGTAAGTCACAGGGAGGGTGGAAGCACAAGTCCTCCTCTGCTCAACTCCATCCCTGTGAATCCAATATTAATGTGCTGGAAGAGCAAAGTGGCCTTCCAGTACTGGTCGGGCAGGAAGGTAATAATCCTAATAGTGGATATTTAAGACCTGCTATATCTGCTTGTATTGCTTAGTTCATAATGCTTAGAATACTGCCAGGGACATAGACAGAAAGCCACTCATAAAGTAATTTGTATTTTCCTCTCTTTGATTCTAAAATTCTTTTTTTTAAAAGATTTATTTATTTATGCATACAAGAGCTGGGGTATAGGCCAGAGGTGTGGGGGGTGAGAGGATTCACCAGAGACAGAGTGGGGAGCAGAACAGGCGGAATGACTGAAATACACTGCTGAGGGGAGCAGTGGGCGAGTCAGGAGAGGTCTGCTGTGACATGTGGGTTTCTCCCTGGCGGGCCGGGTATTGAACTCGTGCTGCAGAGGCTGCGGATTGCTTCATAGTGTGGTGCTGAGCCCCTTGCGCCACCAGGGAGGCCCTAAAATTCTTTTTTTTAAAGATTTATTTATTTATGCATTCTAGAACTGGGGTACAGGCCAGAGGTGCTCAAGGGGCAAAGACAAACGTTAATTTTATTTCTGACTCTTGGCACTCAATGAATGTTGATTTTGAATATGCTGGTTATAGAGGTGCAAGCACTCTGTCTTCTCTGTTCCCACTCTACCCAATTTCATGAGTGTTCTAATATCTTCTGTTACCTAGAGGAACAGAACTGGGGAGGCTCACAACATCCAAGATAGTTGAGTACAAAAACTGAAGATTTGGGATGTCATTTATTTTAAAATCAGGCACAACTTCAAATTGGGGGATCCCTTTGTCTTCTTACAACCGTGAGCTCCTTAAGAACAGCTGAATTTCTGATTTCATTAAAAACAACAACTCTGGTAGCTCATGGTATTGAGTTCGTTTTTGTTGCTAGGCAACCCAAGATCAAAATTCCATCAATATTCTACTCATTAATTGGAATCAAATCCTAACTTTGGTAGTTATTCCATATGCCAAATAATCATTTTAAATAAACAGCTTAAAAGGCTGGCTTTCTCTATTTATCCTCAAGATGGTACACTTAGTCAGAAACTATGCGCCAGACATATTTAAAAAATTATCTCATTTAATCTTCACAACAATTCATAAGGAGGGTACTATTATCTCCATTTCAGAGATGTTAAAGTTGAAACTCAGAGAATGCAAGTAAACTGTTCAAGGTCACATTTCTAGTAATGGAAATTAAATTCCATCTAGGTTTGCTTGGCTCCATTCTAAACTACATCATTCTGCTTCCACAGTACCCGATATTAGAAAATATAGGCTTTAGTTTCTTCCCGATTTAGATGAACACAGGGATGTTTATTCATCAGTGAAGCAGAGGTAGTATCCTCTATTCTGGTCACTTTAAAGGGTTATGGAAGCTTCAAATGAGGAAATCTATATTTAAACTTCTTGGCAATTTTTAAAATAATATAGAAATAGCATCACTGTGTATGTTGCTTGTTGTTACAGAGCTGAGTCATTTAAAGATTGTAGTTTCAGAAAGGTTTTCTTTCCCTCACAGGTTTATAAGCGAACACAGAAACACCAATGGTCATTTCTGGCTGCTATCCATCTTTAAATTTTAAATTCATTCATGCCTATTATTCTTCTTTATCTGGGTCCTGGTGGGTACAGTCTCATAAACCAACTATGCTTGAGCCTTTGCTTTCTAGTGACAGAAAGACAGTTACTGGAAGCCAACAACAAACTTATACCTTAGAGGAGTATTTGGTGTTTCCAAGAAGTGTCCTCCAACCTCTTCTTACATCAGAATCCCCTGAATGGCTTTTAAAAGTACTCCTTCCCTGTCCTGACCCCAGAACAACTATATCAGGAAGGGACCCAGGAAAATGCATTTTTCTAATAAGCTCCCAGCTGATTCTTGAGCACACAAAAGCTTGAGAGACATCATTTTGTCTCTCATGATGTCCTTGAATGATCTCAATCTCACTTCATGCAGGAAGGTCCCCAGCTCGTCTGTTCCACTGACTGTCCTTCTATGCCGATCACTCAGCATAATGTTCTTTGATGCCTGTTGTCAACAGTTATAGTGCTGTTGTTAGTGCACTATAGTGTTAGCGCACTATAATTATAGTGCTCTTGTTAGCTCTGGATGTTTCTCATCCAGCCATAAGGAAAGAGCTGAGGTCTTAGCTGTGCCGCTCAATAGCTGTGTGACATCAATCTGGTTAGACCTGTTTCCTTAAAATAATACATAGTCCCTTTTACTCTAAAATAACATGACTCTACATGGTATGGAATAGAAGATTTTTGCAAGCATGGGTTCAAATACAGAGCTGAGTGACAGAACTGAATTAAGACTATAGGTATTAACACCAGGTTTGTGATTGGGGCCCAATGCTAGAGATTACTAACTGAATCACTTAAGGCCTCTGCTGGGGTACGAGATTGGTATTTTCCCCACAGACTTCTCAGTGATTTTGATGTGCAACCAGGGTTAAGGAAAGAGTGGAATGGGTTTGAGAAATACTAGAACATTCTGTAAAGGATCTGGATTTTCATCCCTATTTTTAAGGGGCTAGAGACATATTTTCTCCTTGTGTGTTCCCATTTCTCTACTTTGTCCAGGTGAGGAGGAAGTTTCCTTCCTCACCACTGATCATTCCAAGAGGACTCAAGGCTTCTGGATATTCTATAGCAGTAGGTCCTTAACACAGTGGCTGCAGTGCACATGGCTTCCATCATATATAACCATTATACACTGTTTTCCTTTGTGAAGCTTTCTTTTTTTTGAAAGATTTATTTATTTATGCATACAAGAACTGGGGTACAGGCTAGAGGTGCTGGGGGTGAGAGGATTCACCAGAGACAGAGTGGGGAGCAGAACAGGTGGATTGACTAAAATACACGGCTGAGGGGAGCAGCAGGCAAGTCAGGAGAGGTCTGCTGTGCCATGTGGGTAGCTCCCTGCATGGTCAGGGATTGAACTTGTGCTACAGAAGCTGTGGATGGCTTCACAGTGCTGTGCTTAACCTTTGTGCCACCAGGGAGGCCCCCTTTGTGATCTTTCTACTTTGTTCTGTTCTCTCAGTTGGGGTGCATATTCAATTATTTTTTTAAAAAGATATAAACATTGAATGTGTATTTTTAAAACACCAGCTTTGCTGACTGGTCATTATATATATATATATATATATATATATATATATTTGAAATCCCCCTCTGTTTAGAACAGAATGAGTCCAGTAAATATCTATTGACTGATGAGGATAATAGTGCTCAGGGAGAAAAGCAATGTTTGGAATGCAGTTTTGGAATAAGTGGGTTCCTCAGGAAGTGCAAGTGAGATATGACCAATACCTGCATCAGTAGTTTAGGAGTTGGATGAGAAAGAAAGGAAGTGTATACTCGACTATGAGGAAGAAGTGAAAGGTAGAGATGTCTCTGTTGAGGCAGAGGAACAGAGAAGGGTTGATGACACTTCAAAATGGTAAGATGTCCCAAAGTTAGGAAAGAAATCAAAGGAAAGGGGACTTAGTTTCAACCATGTTTAGTCTAATGCTTTTGGTCTAGCAACAGAATTCACAGCAGAAGATGAGGGGCAGGATGGGGAGAGATATTTAACAGTTACTACTACACAAGACAACACTGAATAAAGACTTGAGTTTGGCAATTGGGCCTCCCTGGTGGTGCAGGCGGTTAAGCACAGTGCTGTGAAGCTGCCTGCAGCCTCTGCAGCGCAGGTTCAATCCCAGCTGGCCGGCAAGAATCCCACATGGCGCAGGCAGCCCTCCCCTGTCGCGCCTGCTGCTTCCCTCAGCAGTGTATTTCAGTTAATCTTCCTGTTCTGTTCCCCACTCTGTCTCTGGGGAATCCTCTCACCCCTCCATATCTTTGGCCTGTACCCCAGCTCTTGTATGCATAAATAAATAAATCTTAAAAAAAAAAAACCACCAGGAATTTATTCTCTAAAAAAAAGACTTGAGTTTGGCAATATTATCTAGAAAGCGAGTACACAGAGAGGTGAGGGCTGAAGCTAAATACCCATGACTGAGGGGCCTTAGAACTCTAGATCTGTGCTGCCCACTGTGGAAGCCACTAGCCTTGTGTGGCTGCTTCTCAGCCTGAGGTGTGGCTGGTCTGAATTGAAATGTGTCATATACAATGGACTTCAAAGACCATGAAAAGATAAAGGCTATGTGATTAATGATTTTTGTATTGGCTACATGTTGAAATGATAATAGTTTGGAAATACTGGATTAAATAAGACATTATTAAAGTTATTTTCATCCATTTCTTCTTATTTTTCAATGTTGCCACTAAAAAATTTTAAAGTATATATGTGGCTTGCATTCTATTTCTCAAGTAACAGAGAGAGGAAATGAAAAGACTTGGCATGATGCTATGCAAACAGTGCCATATGTATAATGTAAAAGTGTATAAATATGGAAGAATTATCTAAGATTAAGAACGGAGAGCTAATATAAATGTAAATGATACTACACTATTCATATGCTACAGTCATTCAGATGCGATCAAAGGCATAGATGTCACCATCTGGTTTCTGCCTACATAGATGGCCAACTCCATAATACGCTTGGCCTCTTTATCCTACCAAGAAAGGCACCACTTTTTCCTTTGTCTTAGCAATTATATATTCCACTTTCCTAAGTCATTGTATTACATGGTTTCACTTTCTCATTTCATCTTCTGATGATACCTCATAGAACACACTGGAAATCCCAGGCAATCGCACACACACACACACACACATTTTTAAACTAGAGATTGTATTGTGGCTTTCTGGATTCTAAAGGGTCCACACCAGCCTTTGTTTACAATTAATGCATGGGTCTTTTCATGCACCACTAGGTTGCTAGGCTGGAGTATGCTTTTAGGCTTCCTTATTAATGAGAGTGTGGCTTCTCCTTGAGACCTGAAGAAATTAGAGAATATGCCTACAGGCTATGTTGGATATTTCTGTTTCTCATGTTTCAGCTAAAATCACATTTGATTATTTCCAGCTTTGTTTGAGTTCTCACTTTATCACACACTATGGTAGGTAAAATTCTAAGATGGTCCCCAAGATTCTTGCCTTCCTGGGGCACATGCCCTGTAAAATCCCCTCCCCTTGAGTGTTAGCAGGAACCATGACTGGGGCAGATGCTTCTTGGATAGGTAACATTATATGGCAAATGGTGCTGGAACAATCACAGAACAGTGATCCTGTGATTATGTTAAATTGTATTAGACTCCACCACAGGCCTGGAGAGGGAATGGAATCAAAGTATTCCTACTGGTCTGAAGGAAAGCAAACACCGTGCTTTGAATTGCCTAGATTTAAATCAGGAAAATCAGATGAGACAGTTCTTCAATAGTATCTGAAAAACAAGACACTATGAGAGGCATGGGAATTACTTACAAATTCACAGTGCTTCTCAGCACTATGTTGTTTTCCTGTCATGGAGTCTTAAATTAACCCTCAAAAGACTGCCCATAGAAACTCAAAACAATAGTTCTGTAATTCTTTTTTTTTTTTTAATAGAGGCATGTTTTTATTTATTTATTTATTTGTTTATTTTGTTTACACATGCACTGGAGCACGGGAGGGTGAGAGAATTCACCAGAGCCAGAGTGGGGAGCAGAGCAGGCAGAAGGACTGAAGTACACTGCTGAGGGGAGCAGCGGGTGGCAGGAGAGGTCTGCGCACCATGTGGGATCCTCCTCCGGTGGCCGGGGAGCAGCCGGGGATCGAACCGGCACAGCAGAGGCCGCGGGCAGCTTCGCAACCCAGCGCTCAACCGCTGCGCCACCGGGGAGGCCCAGTTCTGTAATTCTTTTTGAGGCTCCAAGAGTAATGGAAAATTCATGCATTACTGTCCTTTTGTCGGTCTTCCTCTATTCCTGTTACTATCACTTCTTCTACTATCACCCCCACACTCAACGGTCACCAGCATCTAGCATTTACTGAATACTTGCTATGTCCCAGACATGTTGCTAAGAACCTGAAAATAGTATGTCATTTAATTCTCACAACTTTTTGAAGTAGGTAGTTTTACTGCCCCTATTTTATATAGATGGGAAAACTGAGGTATAGGGAAGTTAAGTAAGTTGTGTCAGGATAGAAAAAGAATGGCACACAGATTCATCCCCAGGTAGGCAGATATATTTGCTCTTTTCATCACCAGATGTAGTGGTGAGGATACCACTTCCTGTACACTCCTGTTTTCCCCTTCAGTTCTAGATTCAATGAAATGTAAATGTCTTCATAAGAAAGTATACTTTTTCAAGCAACAGAGGAATCAGCCGGTATGTTCCACCAGTTGGTTCCCTCAGCACCCTATACTTCTTGATATGAACAAACAGTAGTAAACACCTTCTCAAGCTTGCCATTCGATGGCTTTAAGTAAACAATCCCCACACTTGGCTTCAAGTTCTGACTGCATATCCTAAAAATGACTAAAGGCACAAGCAGGAAGCCACTCACTTTTGATCAATTGCTATCATGTCATACAATAAATCCACCAGAGATTCCTGATGAAACATGCAAGAGAAATTAATTATAGACACAATAATCTTTTCTTGATAGACACCTTCATTGTACTTTACTCCAAGTGACCAATATGTGGCAAATGAACTCAACTTTTCTGTTTATTTAGTTCAGGTTCTTGTGTTCTTTCCTGGCAAAACATGCTTTATAAGTTCACATGTGCTAACTAGTTAACTAAAACCATTCCTTTTTCATTTTTTCTGCTGAATCACCATGTAAACTATATGCCAGGGTCAGCAATATTTAAATCCACCAGGCCAGCACCTAATAGTGCTAAAAGAAATACTTTTGCAGAGCGTAGTCATTTCCTTTCAAGGTGTTTTGTATAGAGCTTTCCCTTTGGCCCTTAATCCTCATACTCAACAATCTTCCCATTTCTTTTATTTTTCAGTCTTGTGATTGAATATGCAATACCTGAAGTTATTGCAACTGCAGACATTTATTTTTGCAATATTGCCTATCATAATCCTCAATATGGTTTAGTCTCTTATCCCTTTTGCCTAGGAAATACCACATACTTTCTTGATTATTTCAAATGTTTAAGTATCTCAAGCTCCTCTTCAATATTATGCTTTCCTTTTTCAGTAGGCACTATGTGGTATTTTTCAAAATAGGAGACCTTGTGTGTTCAGGGTAGCATATTATTTGTTGTTTTTGAATCAAGATGCTGAGACATGTTTGTGATGTTGAATGAGTGGGTTTTTACATAGAAAAGTTCATGTGTGAAAGAATATCAAACAAAATCTTGCAGGATAATACGCAGTGAATCAAGGTAGTTGGCAGATTGTGTGTGTGTGTGTGTGTGTGTTCCTACCTAGCTGGGTACAGGTTAGCTGGGTACAGGTTAGCTGGGTACAGTGTAATGCATGTACCAATGTTTCTGACTGAATAAATGATGCATAAGCAAATCCAAAATTTGAGTTATCTATAAGTTATTTCTTTATATAGCAACTTCATTGGAATAATACGTATTTTCAAAAAGCAGTATAGCATAATCCACTGTGACTAACCTTCAAATGGCAGTAAGCTATTATTAATATACACCATAATTCAGTAAATCCTTGGAACTTGCATTTTAGTGAAATTCAAATGTTGACCTTCCTAAGCTCAGTTTCAAATTATGAGACCTATTCTGAAACTTCTTGCCTGCATGTTGTTTATGGGCTGCGGTGCTCCTATACCACAGCAAATATTTCATTACCATATTTGATCTTCCTGGAGGTTGTTCAAAGTAAATGGGCACAAGTGCTTCAGTGTGTTCACCCTATTAGTCAGTCTTGTGGTAAGAAGTATAGGGTTTTAGTTTCTCATGACACATTTTAATTTAGTAGCACAGAATGTCACCATTTAGAAGCACAGAATGCACAATGATTCAGCTATTTTGAGAGACAGATAATATTAAACTCAACTACCAAATGTCTTCCACCTTAACGTGTACAATTTTTAGGACAGATAATGTCTTACTCTATATTTCAATTAATAATTGTATCCCAAACTCGTCAAGAGATAAACACAATTTCTCAGGGAAAATAAGAGCTTTAAAGATCATCTGGAGCCAGCCAGATACAAATGTGGAAGAAGATCTAATTTTGTCCTATTTGTATTTTCTGTTCCTAGTACTTTTGATTTTCTCTTGCCACAGAGAACAATGCCAAGTTATTGTACTGTCATACCAGAGATATGTTCCGGCAACTGTCCCTGGTATTAAAACTACCGCAAAAGAAAATAGCCCTAAACCTCAGTGTGAACAGGCAGCAATAATTTTTAAAACTACCATAAAACTTGATTGCAATGTTCAGGCTTGCAAATTCAAAATACCTAAGTAAAAGAGTTAAAGAGTTGGGAAAGAACATTGTCTCATTTTAGAAGTTTGGTAAAATCAAATTATGTTCAAAAGTGGGCATCTAATTCTACTTTCCTATTTATTATTTACATATAAACTTTTAACTTTTTGCAAATGTCTCCTAAACAATTTTTAGAAGCTAAGACAATGTTTCTGCTGTCATAGCCCTATTAGTGTATTTTGATTGTGTGCCTTTAAATTTTTCCCTAAAATAAACACCCTCAAAACTATAACATTGTTAACCGTGGTGAAGAGGTGATTTATTGAATTCCCCCCATTTCTGTCCTTTCTTTTTTTACTTCCTTGGGGCAGGGGCTGTAGTGTGTTCTCCAATACAGAAAACAGGTCAGAGTGACTACTGACGAGCCGGCTTTCTCAAGCCCCCAACTCAGTGTGAAAACTCTGATCTGGGCCAGCCCTTTGCATATGAAGAAAGGGAAACTCAGAGCGGCGGCACGATTTCTCCAAGGTGAAACCAAAGACTGTTAGAGTCCCATTACACTGGCTTTTCTCCATCGAAATCGGGCCTTTTTCTTTTGAGCTCCAAGGTGCCTGGGGCAGATCGAGGGGGGGAGGGGAGGGGACCCAAGGAGGGGGGTGCGAGGATGGGGCGGGGAGCGTTCATCTGGAGGCCTGGGGGGTGAACGCGCGCGTTCCCAGGGGTTAGAGCGAGCAGAGCCGCAGCAGCGGACTCCAGGCTTCCAGCGGCTTCGCGGGGACCCCAGGGCTAGAGGCTGGCGCGAGCGCTGCTGGTGGGGAGCGGAGCGGGCAGCGCGGGGACACAGCACGACCAGGCGCAGGCACTCCCGGGGACTGGCGGCCTTGCCGCCCCCCACCGCGGAATAGGACCCGGCAGAAGCCGCGCGGGCAAAGTTCCCCAAGGTGCCGCGAGGTTCGAGGGAGCGGACAGCTCCGGGAAGGCTGCAGCCGCGGCGCCCCGGGAGTCCCTTCCTTACCTTCCTTTCCCCGCCCCAGCGCAGAGCCCCGGCCTTGAGCGCGCAGAAGTTTCCGGCCGAGCGCGCCAGGTGAGCTGGCCGGAGTGGAAGCCCCCAGCTCCCGGCTAGCTCGCTCCTCGCCGCCCACCCGGCGGGCGCCCGGGCGCACGGTGACCACAGGCAGCGCCGGAGCGGCGCGGCAGCGCGGGCGGGGACCGAGCGCGGGCGCGCGCCCCCGGGCGCAGCGGGGAGGGCGGCGGGTGGTGGCGCCCCGGCCCCAGGCCGCAGGATTGCAGGACTGTTGGTAACCAGCAGCGGCTGCAAACCAAAGTTTGTAAAGACCGGTTTACCGAATTGAGCACTGCTTACGGTTATAAAATAAAACTGGTGTTCGCTGTTCTAGTAGGCAGAGATCAATGGAGTTGAATACTAGAAGGAAAATCCATTGTATGCTCGCCCTCTTCCTTCCTCACCCCATCCTCTACTCGCCATAAACGGGTATGGAGAGATAAGTGACAGACGGGGCATGGGAATATATGGGTGTGTAGGACAGAGAATGGTTATATTTTTATTCAAAAACAGTGAGCATCTCGAAAAAGCAAATGGGTAAAGAACATAGACAATCACAGAAAGAAAATTTTTTTTGAATGGTTGAGAAAAAAAGAATCCAAGTCACTAATAGGCAGATGCTTGAAATGTTACGGAATAATCAAATAAATTTTTCGTTTCAATGAAATTAGCAAAGTTTTGTTTTGATAACCAAAGCGTTACTGACAAGGGACCTGAATAACCTGACAAAGGACGAGTGAATAACCAACTTCAAGGACTTCCATACCTGAGCTTCTCTTATTTTCACTTTATCATCCGCTCTTTCTCTTCACTTTTCACTCTCACTTTCATTTTATACAACCATGTTGCTAACATAAGTTCCAGGAACAAGCATTTATTTCGTAATCAATGTCTCTTTTGATTCCCAAAATTACAACAAAAAAGGTAAATAATATAAATGGCAAAATTACCCTCCTTTAATTGATATTGAAACTGAGGGTGTTCTTTGACCCATTCGGTGACTAGAAACCACTTGACTCTCAGGCCTTTGGGGTGACTCTTTATTCTGGAGGTCTACTCAGGAATGTCAGAAATACTCTCTGAACTGGTCTTCCCTGGTGTCCTAGGGATTAAGTCTTAGTACTATCACCTCCAAGGCTCACCAAATTGGCCTGAGTCTGATCCTGGCCAGGGAGCTACCGCACATGGCACAACAGACTTCTGTTTCTCCCGCTGCTCCCCTCAGCAGTGTATTTCAGTAGATCTGTCTGTTCTGCTCCTCACTCTGTCTCTGGTGAATCCTCTAACCCTTCCCCCTGGCCCCTGGCACTTCTGGCCTGTACCCCAGTCTTCTACACAAAAATAAATAAAATCTAAAAAAAAAACCAAAAAAACCTCTTTGAACTGGATCTAGTTCATGGTATAAACACATAATAGGGAAATTAAAAGGTTATGAGCTTTGACTTCATATGTATATTGGGTTTAGATTTTACTTCTTATTAAGTGTTCTACATTAACATTTTTGAAGAATTACTTGAAGTTACTTTTAATTGAAGAAGCAACAAAGATTGCTTATATGCAGACAGACTCTATGGTGGTCCCCTGAGTTCCACTACCCCCTCGTGTTCACACATTTGTGGGATCCCCTTTCCTTTTCCTTGGATTGGGACCTGTAACTTGATTGTGTTAGGGTGCAAAGGAAATCATCCTGAAACCCTCTGGGTTCTTCCAAACTGACAAATAAATTGTTGGCACAGTCTAGTGCAGATGAGGGGCAACTCCTCACTCTGACCTTGAGATACCCGCCCAAGCTCCAGGGAGGACATCTGTGCTGTGCTGTGGTCTGAACTCTGCCCTTGATGTCCTGAGCAGGGAGGCCACTAGGAAGGGATGCTGGAAGCCTTTTTGTGAACCTTTAAAAAAGAGCCATGCACGTGGGCTCACTCTCTTCCTGTTCCTTGGAGCTGCTGAGGAAGGCATGCTGGATGTGGGCCTTTGTTCCCTGCCTCTGGGGGGGAGGGTGGGAAGTGGGGGGTGGCCCCCTGACCTCGCCATGCCTTGCTATAGTTGCAGCTCCACCTGCACTATCCATCAGTAACTGTACCTTCTCCCTCTCCCTCCATCTTGTTGTTTAGAGCAAATTATGGTCTTTTTAATTTAATTTTTTTCCTGTTTTGCTGCACCAAAGGCCCTTTTGCTTGCTTTTGTGGTGGCAGGTGACTAGATGCAGAATCAATCAGAGGTTCTGACATGGTGACATATTTTCTTTTGCCCTTTTCCTGATACCAAAACAAGTATCAGTCAGACTGATCAGAGATGAAAAGCCAAAAAGCAGTTTAATAATAACAATTACAATAATATGTATACATGGAGAGATCCAGCAAAACCGAGTAACTTGCCCAATGGCCTCAGGTGCCAACTTACATAGTTTAACTGAGCGAGGTTGCAGTTGTAGGTTGTAGGTGTGGTCAGGGAGGTTAGCAAGGCAGACATGGTAAACTATGGTATGCAGATTTAAGATTCTGCTTCCTCCAGTGAAAAGGGATAAGGAGATTAGATCTTCCCAGAACAGTGAGCAAAATGCCCGAGAGAGCCTTTCACCATTATACATGTAAGTGTCTCTTTCAAAAAGGCAAACTCCACCTGGTCTTCAGAGCCTCTCCCAGAAGAGAGGTTTTTGGCCTTTGCCAAAAAAAACATATTTTGGGGTGGTAGATTGCTAGCAGACTGTCTGGAGCATGTCCTGTCCAACTTGATGAAGTAAGTGGCCATGTTGGGGAAGGCCACCTGCCATGGAGCCTTAGGTGTCCTCCACAAGCTGGACGCGCCTCAGGCTAACATCCAGCAAGAAGCCATGGCTGTCATCCTACAAATACATGGAGTCTAACTCTCTCAGCCTGTCTTTGTGACCTTGGAAGTAATCTCTTTCCCAGTCAAGCCTGCAGATGACAGTGTAGACCAGAGGAACTTTAATTGCAGCTTTGTGAAACCCTAAGAAGATGGCCCAGTTAAACTGTGCCTGGCTTTAAAATCCTAAGATAAATGTATATTATGTTAAACCACCATGTTTGTGGTAATACATGTGTTATATTTGTATTACATGTGTTGTATTTGTATTTGTATTTGTATTGTTGTAACACAATAATACATGTGTTGTTCAGCTAGTCAACATATTAGTATGTACACTGTACTCCCTTTGTGTTAATTATTGTTGTCTTGTTGCATTCTGATTTTCTTTCTTGCTCCTTTACATGCATGTCCCTGTCTTGTCTTCATTGCAGAATTTCCATGAGACAAAAACTAATGAAATGGTGCCTTACAGATCAGCCACATGTTGAGGGGTCTCTGAGATTTCCAGCTACATTTCTGTTTCAAATGTATGTCCAGAATTCACAAACTTCACCTCTTAGATCCTTTGGGATATTCTCTGTGTAAAACTGCTGCAAGTGGCCAGAAATATAGTCAACTCAGCTTGCACTGCAACTCAAGTTGCAGCTGCACTGTGAGGAGTACCTACAGTAGAAAACTAGGAGCCAATTCTACTCCTAGGTATCGACCCAAAGAATGTTAAAAAAAAACCCAAAATTAATTAGAAGGGATGTATGTATTCTTATGTTCATTGTAGCATTATTTACACTAGATAAGCTATGGAAACAACCTAAATACTCAAAGACATGAATAGATTAAGATGTAATATATACATACAGTGGACCTCCCTGGTGGTGCAGGTGGTTGAGCACAGTGCTGTGGGGCTGTCTGCAGCATCAGCAGTGCCGGTTCTATCCCCACAGCCGTGGAGATGCCCACATGGCACGACAGACCTCTCCTGTCTCGCCGGCTGCTCCCCTCAGCAGTGTGTTTCAGTCAATCTGCCTGTTCTGTTCCCTGCTCTGTCTCTCATGAATCCTCTCGCCCTCCCGCACATCTGGCCTGTGCCCCGGGTTCTTGTATAAATAAATAAATCTTTAAAATACACACACACACACACACACACACACACACACACACACACATGAATACTCCTCAGTTATCAAAAAAGATAAACTCTTGCTGGGGCCTCCCTGGTGGCGCAGCGGTTGAGCGCTGGGCTGCGAAGCTGCCCGCAGCCTCTGCAGCGCCAGTTCGATCCCTGGCCGTTGGCACTGGGCGAGGGTCCCACATGGCGTGCAGACCTCTCCTGCCGCCCGCTGCTCCCCTCAGCAGTGTATCGTCAGTCTGTCTGCCTGTTCTGTTTCCTGCTCTGGCTCTGGTGAATTCTCTCACCCTCTGTGCTTCTGACTATACCCAGTGCTTGTATAAATAAATCTTTAAAAAAATAAATAAACTAACTCTTGCCATATGTGACAAGGTGGATGGAACTAGAGGGGATTATGCTGTTGTGTCGGGCAACACCACACTGACAAAGACATGGGAGTCATGGAGCAGGCTACATAATGCAGGATTCTGCTTGAGAGCAAGATCCTGGCTGTTTTTATTGCTAGAATAATCATACAGCATCAGCTACGTGCATGCGTTAGGAGGACAAGGAGAAACAGTTGGGTGAAACTAAGGAATGTCATCTAGGGCTTGGGGGGACATGAAGCTGCTGACCATGTTATCAGCTTGATGATCTAGTATTGTAATTGAAACCAGACCCCAGACCCCTGGCCACGGTCCTAATCTTATAAACGAGGCATTCCACTGATCAGCTCCTGGAGTCCCTTGTGATACATCAGTCCTCAGCCCCCCAGGTGTTCCCAGTCATACTTCTAATGCATAGCCTTCCCAGAGTGATCAAGCTTTCTGCTCTTGATTGATATGAAAGGCACCTTGTAAGGTTTGGCTCCTATGGCTGATTGACCGGTTCTGAAGGGCAGTTCTGACCTTGTATAGGAATGCAGAACTGCAGGGAACCATTATGGCAGCCGTACAGGCTGCTTAAGTTTAGCAGACACATTGTGCTAAGTGAAATTAGTCAGAAGGGGAAAGATAGATACTGCATGGTGTCACTTTTATGTGGCATATAGAGAAACAAAACAAAGTGATGGTGCAACTAAACCAATAACACACCCTAGAAATCTGACTGTAGAATGGAGGCTCTCAGAGGGGGAGCGGACAGAG